CTTAAGTGTTCTTCTTTGTTACAGTTTCTTCTCTGACACTGTCACCTTCATCCCTGTTGCAGGACCTCATTACCTCACACCTGGACTACTGCAATAGCCTGGCGGGGGGTGGGGGGGGATCTGTCGGCCTCAGGTCTCTCCCCACTCAGGTCCATCTGCCACTGTCCATTCAGCCACCGAAGTGATTTTCCTAAACGACAGGTCTGGCCTTATCAGACACTTCCTCCCCCATTCAATGAACTCCAGTTCCCTATTACCTACTCAAGGCTCCCTATCACCTCTAGGAACAAACAGGGAATCTTTTGCTTGGTGTTCAAAACCCTTCACAACCTGGCCACCTTTCCAGCACTGTTACACTTTAGACCACCAGCAGAACAAGACACTTCATCTGCCAACTTCAGACATTTGCCCTGGCCGACCCCCATGCCAGGAAATCTCTTCCTCCTTCACTCCTGCCTTTTTGCTCTCTTCAAATCTCAGTTGAAATCTCACCTTCAACAGGAAGACCTTCCTGATCCTCTTTAATTCTAGTGTCTGCCCTTTGTTGATTATTCCAAATTTAGCCTGTCTATAGCTTGTGGATGTATAGTTGTTTACATGTGGACTCCACCATTAAAACCATGAGCTTCTTGAGAGCAGGATCTGTCTTTTACCTTTCTTTATATCCTGTTTTTAGCACAGTTCCTGACACATAGTAGGCATTTAATTAATTAATTTTAATTAAGCATTTAATAAATGTTTATTGACCGACTAACTTATTGACTCAAACAAGCAAGCAAAGGCAGCTTTATGGTTCTGACTCCAGAGTGGGGTTGCAGATTTAGTCCACAGACCTGGGCTGGGGAGCCTGCAGCTGAGTAACCAGCGGAAGGACCAAGAACAAGTCAAAATTCTGTTGCTCAGTACCTGCTGTGCCTTCCAGCTAGCTGTCAAAGCCTGAGGACAAAAATTGTCTACTGGAGCTTCAACCAGGGGCAAGTTTGCAGTTCTCTCTCATCCAGACCCAAACCAGGATCAGGAGGTTGCAAAGCTCAGACCAAGAAGACAGCAATCAGACTTCTCCATAGAATATAATGCTTAGGGCATGCTGGAAGTTAACAGGTCTCCAGCCTAAACCACTCCTAGGATCCTTGAAGAATGAAGCTCTTGATAAATGGAGAAAACAGCAGGAAGACCCACAAGAATTCTAAACAAGACCAAGCAAGGTCCAGACTTTCCTTTTAAATGTGCACAGAACCTGGCCTTAAAACAAAGTTCAAATAGAGGAAGTAAAGTTGGAAGGAAGGGTAAACCAAAAAAAAAAAGATAGTCACAATAAAGAGGTGTTTTGGAGTAAGGGTTGCTGAGCCATCAAATCCTAATCCCCCACCACCTCAGCAAAGAACATCGCCTCCTACTTCACTGAAAAGATTGAGGTCATTTATGAAGAGTTCCCTCTTCTCTCTTCCTCCTCATCCCCCATCACTCAGATGCTTTCTGCCACTATTTCCTCCTTCATTCTGTCTCAGAAGAAGAGGTGGCCCTTATCTTTGCCTAGGCTAACCCCACTACATGTACCCTCGATCCCATCTTATCCTGTTCTATTCCAGCAGATTGCCCTCTCTATCATCCCCACTCACTAATCTTTAATACACTCCATTTCTACTGGCTGCTTCCCTGCTGCCTACAAACATGTGCATGACTTCCCCATCTTCAAAAATCCTCACTTGACCCATCTATCCCCATTAATTATCATCCTATATCTCTCCTTCCTTTGGTGGTTAAACTCCCTGAAGCTGTCCATCTACAATTAGTGCCTCCACTTCCCTTCCTCTCACTCACTTCTTACCTCTCTGAAGTCTGGTTTCTGCTCTCACATTTAACTAAAATGTTTTCCAATACCAATGGTACTAATGATGCCAATGATTTTTTAATTGCTAAATCTAATAGCCTTTTCTCAGTCCTTGTCCTTTCTGACCTGTCTTCAGCCTTTGATATTGTCAGTCTCCGTCTTCTCCTTGATACCTTCTTCTCTCTAGGTTTTTGTGACACCGTTCTCTCTTGCTTTTTCTCCTATCTGTCTGATTACTCTTCAGTCTCCTTAGCTGGATCTTTGTCCAGAACACAGCTGCCAACCATAAGTGTCTCCTACAGCTCAGTGCGTCCGTTTTCTCTTCCTCTATCCTATTTCACTTGCTGACCTCACCATCTCCCATGGATTCGAATGATCATGTGTATGCAGATGATTCTCAGACCTATTGATTCGGCCCTAACTTCTCTCCTGACCTAATGCCTAATGAACACCTCAAACTGGATTCCTGTAGCCATCTTAAATTGAACATGTTCAAAATTGAACTCATTATTTTTCCCCTCTTCCTATCTTCCCTCCTGCTGTTGAGGGTCCTCCCATTCTCCCAGTCCCTCAGGTCCACAACCTAGTCATCCTCAACTCCTCCTGCATCATCCCACCGTATTCAATGTATTGCCAATTCCTGTCAACTACTACCTTTATAACATTTCTCATCTATACCCTCTTCTCTCCTCTGACCCTGCCCTCACTGGTGCAGGACATTATCACCTCATGCCTGGACTATTACAATAGCCACAAGTCTCTCCCCACTACAATTCGTTTTCCCCTCAGCTATCCAAGTGATCTTCCGAAAGCATAGGCCTGACATATCACTCCTCTAGTTAATAAACCTCAAGAATTTTCTATCACTTCCAGGCCCAAATATAAAATCTGCCCTTTGGCTTTCAAAGCCCTTCATTACCTCCTCCCAGCATTCCAGTCTTCTTACACTTTCCTTCCTTCCAAGTACTCCACGATCCAGTGACGCTGGCCTCCCGGCTGTTTCTCAAACAAGACACTTCATTTTCTGAACCTAAGGAGCTGTCCTGTGATCTGTTATCAGCTCTCATGCAACTATTCTCTCTTGCAAGGAGGACACCAAAATCTCCATGTCCTGCCCTTATTGACCTCCTCTCTCCACAGCTGCCAAATGGATCATCCTCCGGCATAGTTTCCTTCTCAATAAGCTTAAGTGGCTCCTTATCGCCTTTAGCATAAAACACAAACTCCTGTTTGGCATTTAAAGAGTTTCCCAATCTGGCCCCAGCCTAGCTTTAAAGGCAGATTACACTACATAATACCCAGCCCCCACCCCATCCATCTACACTCCAGTCAGGCTGCTGTTCCCGGTACACCACAGTCCATCTTGGCCTCTGTATCTTGGCATGGGTGAGAATGCCATGCCTGAAAGGTTCTCCTTCCTCACTTCGACCTCCTAGAACTGATGGCTCCCTCCCTGTACAGCTCAGCCCAAGGGCTTCCCCCTTCCTGGATTCCCTTAATTTATAAGGGCCCCCTCCCACCATCAGTGTATTCAGCCTGTGTTCACTTGTGAACGTGTATCCCCTTCTACCATACCCGAAGCTCTCGAAGGCAAGGCCTGTTTCCTTTTTGTGTTGTCTCTTGTGTTTAGCACAATACCTAGCACGTGGTAAGGGACTTGAGACTTGTTAATTGATTTAGTAATTGGGAAATAGCCAAATTAAACGGGTTATCAGTACTATCCGGTACAATAACAAGAAACAAAAGCTCGGGACTGCTTGCAGCCCTAATTCCTATACAGCCAGTGCCTTTATAGAGGGGAAGCCAGCTGGCTAAAGGTCAGCTAGGTATCTCACACTCTGAGCCACTCTGCAAGGCTCAACTCAAATGCTGCCTCTCTCTCCAGGATTCTTTCCCCATCCACCCAACCCATGCTCAGAAGATGCTTTCTCCTCCGGGAAGCCAGCCGGGGTTTCTCCAGGTCCAGCTCAAATACACGCTCAATTTTCTTTTCTGGCATGGCCACCCCGAGGCCGTTCTAGCACGTGATGCTTGGCCCTGGCTGCCGGAAGTGGGCCGCTCTAGGAGGCCCCGGAGGCCATTGGAGTCGATGGTTCTCGCCGAGGTGGCTCTCAAGAACCAGCCCCGCCCACCCCATCCCACCCCGAATGCAGTCTGCGCTTGCGCACTGCCCTCCTAAGGCAGACTGTCTTCCGCGGCAGAGTACTTTCTGGATGCTCGAGGCCAGCGCACCTCCGATTATAGGAACCCACGGTGGTTCCGGCGAAGTTATACAACTCCCTCATCTTACACAGTGAATTCTGTAAGGGAACGGGGGGCTGAGGAACCTCAGGATCCAACGTCTCCATTTTGCAGATGGAGAAACGGAGGCTCAGCCTTGCCCAAGGTCACAATAATGGCAATGGTAGTGGAAGAGCTGCTAGGGCTTGATCCCAGGCATTCTGAAGCACAGATTCTGTAGGATTTAAAGGTGGATGGAGCTCAACTAGGCTTCCATCATTTTTTTTTTAATATTAATTTAAAAATCCAAATCCTGCTGTGTTAAAATCTGGCTTCACGGGACAGCTAGGTGACTCAGTGGACAGACCACCGGTCCTGAAGTCAGGAGGACCTGAGTTCAAATTCGGTCTCAAACCAAACACTTGACATTTACTAGCTGTGTGACCCTGGGCAAGTCACTTAACCCCGATTGCCTCACCAAAAACAAAAAACCAAAACTATCTAAATCCCGGATTTTGTCTTCTCAACATTTTAAATCTCGGAGTTGGAAGCTGCAGAGGTGAGCAGCAGCTCGCTTGTGGAAATCAGTCTTAAGCCTAAGATGCTAACATGAGCTGTGGGTACCACGCTGTCCAGTGCTGGCGAGTCCATGCTCGGCCTCCTCCACATCTGTCCACGTGCCTCTGGAAGGCCACATTGGTCAGAACTGGCAGCTCTGCGCTGCTAACTGTGTGTGCTGGGGGGGGGGGGGGGCAGGGATTGGTTCACCTCTTCAAAGGAGTGTATGCTCAAAACATTCCCCTTGGGGAAGGTTTCAGGAGAAAAAGAAAGATCCCTTAAGGGGCCCCAATAACGAGAAGATAATCTTTAGATGAGTTAACAGCTCACATTTATATGGTACTTCACCATTTACAAAACATTTTCCTCACAACAACCCTGTGAGGTGGGTAGTAAAAGTGTTATCCTCAGATGAGGAAACTGAGGCTCAGAGAGGCAAAGATATTTTCACACAAGCTAGTAAGTGGCTTAGGCCACACTTGAACACAGGTATGGTGACTCTCTGTGGAAGGTTCATTCCACAACACCCCCTTCCAGATCCAGCTGGTTCTACCTGCCCTTCCGGCATCATGCGGCCTTTTCTTATGTACCTGGGCAGACCAGGCTCCACATGGGGCATCAGAATTCCCTCTAATTAAGCTTGTAGAGCTTAAAGCTAAATTTGAGATCAAGTCCAGAGTCTTCATTTTATAGAGGGCAAAACTAATGGGGGTAGGGGTGTGACTTGCTCAAGGCCTCAGGTTAAGTCAATTACTGAACAGGGGTCCCAGGCCACCTGAGTCCCAGTGATAACAGCTCTTTTCCAAGTGCTTTAAATACATGATCTAATTTTTTTTTTGAGCCTTAAAAAAAAAAAAACAGTGAATACCATAGGTATTGCCACCACGTTGCAGATAAAGACAGAGACTCAGAGATTAAGTGACTTGTCCATAGTCAAACTAGCAGGTGGCAGGGGCAGGGTTTTTCAGGTTCTTCCTGACTCCAGGACCAGTTGTTCTTTTTATTAATGGGCACTGCTCAGTCAGGAGCCTGAGGCTTGGACACCCTGCACCTCATTTTGACCTCTGTAAAATAAAGTGATTAAGTCATCTCTAAGGTCCCTTCCAGCTTTAAAATTCCATGATTCTATCCCATACTTAACAGTAGTCTTGCCTTTATTAATAAATCAACCAACATTAATTAAGCACCTACTATATGCAAGGCCCTGTGCTTGGCACCAGGAATACAAAGATACATGATCCGGACCCTACTCTCAAGGAGTTTACAATATTAATAAGGACACAAATGCCACACAAATCATACAAGGGGGAGTGAAACGAGCGCAAAGGAGAAGTGCAAGCAAAGCTCCCTAAGGGAAGGCTTCCCATTCCAGGCCCAGGAGGCTGGCTGCGGACACTCTTCCTTACCCCCTACTGTGCTCTGCTCATCCTCTCTACCCCCCCTCAGTGGGCTCTCCCCATCCTTAGCCCCAGCTTCCCCACTTCCTTCTCCCCAGTGAGAACTCCCTAGATTGTGTGTCCCCATCACCACCACCACCTTCTCTATGGATAAGCACCATCCTATGCAAAATTTCATTTAATGCAAATGTCAGGAGCCAAGATAAGGGTAAAGCAAAAAATTAAGCCGGGCTGGATGCCTAGAAAAGAGTTCTGGATGTGGGGAACAGAGGGGGTTACTTAGTTGACTGTAGGGTTATTTCCATCAGAAGGTTTACATGTCTATGTGTTGGGATGGAGGGTGTTCCAAAGAATGCTCTAATTTCCCTCCAGGATTGGGGGATCTATGAAAATTAGTTCTGCTTCTATGGGGAGCAGGAAATGGTCTTTGAGGTTGGACTCTGAACTCCACAGGCTCTTGCCTCCACATGGCTGGCAGACCAGTGCTCCTTATACTTTGATAAAAACAGATTCATGTGGTCTAAATAGATGGCTATGGACAGTATTGTAAATGTGCCAAATTGTAAAAAAAAAACATCATTATGGAAGAGAGGTGCTGACAAGGATTAAGGAACAGGCCATGGCCTAAAAGGAAGACCCCCCCCCCCCCTCCTCTTTACTCTTTGGATGCAGCAGACAGCACACGTGATGAGTGGAGGAAATTCCTTGGGGTGTCCATGCACCCTCTTCCATTTCGGTCCCTGACCTGAGAGGCCATTCGGAAAGTTAATAAAGCTAAGGATAACTCGAAGTAAACATTAACTTTCGACACTCTTGTTCACCCTCACTCTGTAATATTGATCAATCAGTCATGCAAACAACCTTTATCATCTGCTACAAGAAGGCAGTTATGCAGACTGAAGTCCTGTCCTCCAAGGCCCTGGCGTGGGCAGGGGATAGTAACACCCTGAAAATTAATCTCTGTTGTGAGTCCTCTGATGTCGAATGAGGCTTGAATTTCTACAGAAGACTTTCTCACATTTGTTGCATTCATAGGGCTTTTCTCCACTATGAATTCTCTGGTGCTGAATAAGGTCTGAGTTCTGCCTGAAGGCTTTCCCACACTCATTACATTCATAAGGTTTCTCATCACTATGAATTCTCAGATGCTGAACAAGGTCTGACCGTGTCCTAAAAGCTTTCTCACATTCATTACATTTAAAAGGTTTCTCTCCACTATGAATTCTATGATGCTGAATTAGATCAGATCTCTTCCTGAAGGCCTTCCCACACTGATTACATTCATAGGGCTTCTCTCCACTATGAATCCTCTGATGCAGAATAAGATCTGAGCTCTTCCTAAAGGATTTCTTACATTCATTACATTCAAAAGGTTTCTCCCCACTATGAATTCTGAGATGTGGAACCAGGTCTGAGCACCACCTGAAGGCTTTGCCACACTCGTTACATTCATAGGGCTTCTCTCCACTATGAATTCTCTGATGTTCAATAAGGCTTGAGCTACGACTGAAGGCTTTGCCACATTCGTCACATTCATAGGGTTTCTCTCCACTATGAATTTTCTGATGGTTAATAAAAGTAGAGATATCTCTGAAGGCCTTCCCACAAGCATTACATTCATAGGGTTTCTCTCCACTATGAATTCTTTGATGCCGAATAAGGCTGGAGCTTCGACCAAAGACTTTGCCACAATGACTACATTCATAGGGCTTCTCCCCACTATGAACCCTCTGATGTTGGATAAGATCTGAGCTCTTCCTGAAGGCTTTGCCACAATCGTTACACTGGTAAGGTTTCTCTCCACGGTGAATTCTCTGATGTGAGACAACATCTGAATACCACCTGAAGGCTTTGCCACATTCACTACAATCATATGGCTTCTCACCACTATGAATCCTTTGATGTTCAATAAAGTATGAACGCCGGCTAAAGGCTTTATCACATTCACTACATTCATAGGGTTTTTTTTCATTATTAACATTCTGATGGGTTAGAGGCTCTGAATCCTGTCCGAAGCTTTTATCATATAAATCACATCTCTGGGATCCTTCTCCTATAGTTTCTATACAACTTCTAACAGGCGCTGAACCCAAATCACAGCTTTTTTCACACTTGGTATATTCATGTCCTCCCTCTTCTTTAGGGACGCCCCCTTGGGAGAGGGGCATGGGGTTGAAACCACTCTCTTGGGAAGGGGGAGACTGTCTCAGTCTCATCAACACTACCCTTCCCTTGTGCTCCGCTAAACTGTCCTTGGAGTCACAGGCTTCTTCAAGTTCAGGCTCCTGGGGAACAGTCCTTTGCAGTCCTGCCCACAATATGCCCTTGAATTCATCTTCTTCAGAAATTTCCTGCTTTGGAATAACCTCCTTGTTTTCAGTCTCAATACCATAGTCTGAAATGAGAAATAGAAAATATGGATACCCTTGCTGGGAAAAAGAAATCTGTTGATCTGAAAGAGGAAATCGAATAATCCAAATCAAACTGACTACGAGGTGTACCTAATGCCCTTTTAATCCAGAAGGAAGGTGGGGAAGTGGAAAATACAGGAAGAAGACGAGAGAAGTCACTTGACACAGACACCAAGGTGAACAAAGAGAATGAGGGAGAGCCTTTTGAGAAAAGGGGTGACAAAAGTAGAGAAGGCAGGAATGAATAAGAATAGCAGACAAGAAGCCAGGTATCAGGAGAAGAATGGGCTGATGTGACTTGGGAGGAGTGGGACCAGACTTGTCTTGGAGGTCCTTTACAATCCTGTGACTTGGTAAGGTCCCTCTGGGGAAATGAGGAAGTTGTATTCAGGTATCTCCATGGTCCCTTCCAACTTTACAATCCACAAAGTTGAGAGAGGATGAAAGATTACATATGGGGGATGCTGGGGGCATAAGCAATGGTTTGAGGAAAAATATAATCACAAAGGGAGGAGAAGAAGGGAAGGCATTTTCCTCTCTGTCAGGCACCAAGACACCCAGGATTGGGCAGACTTGGGGAAAAAATGAAAAAATTTACTACTGCTGCCTCACTAAAAAAAGGATGGGGGGTTCCTACTTCCCTAAGTCCCCTCATACCTAGATGTTATTCCCATAACTCACCTGGATAAGCACCTTTCAGGACCTCTCTGTCCTCCATTCCCTGAAGGTTCTGGATGCACAGCTTTTCACCTCTATCCATCTGGGAGGCCAGGTCAGGTTTTGAAACTGGAGACCCTTCTAATGAGAGAGGGAGCTGGGGGACGATGGTTTGGGCCAAAAACACAGAGTTCTCCCAGCATTCAGTACTAGCACCTGGGTATGCCAGCATGTGGGGGATACAAAGGAGAAAAGGAAATTACATTAGAAAGGCAACTGAAGAGAGTAGAACAAAGTGCCCTCCCATATGGGGTTTGATAAAGGTCAGTCAGTAGCCTGGGTACAGGAGGGTACGGATCAATCTCTGCTAAGAACACGAAGTACCAGGGACAAGAACATCCCTGGAGGAGGTAGACTGGGCAGAGTCACCTACTGCAAATTCACAGAATGAGAAATGTGTCCACACCAAAAAAAGCTGCCCATTTCTACTTCTGCCCAGATCAGTCTTGGCTTCTAGGCAGAAGACTAGAAATACTCTACCCAAATGGAGCAGCTCGCCCCCGGGCCTAAAGTCAATGAGGTGCTTCAGAAAACCACAGAAAAGGAGGTCATCAAAAAGCTCATGGAATGAGTTACTTCTTTATGAAAGGGAAAGGGAAAGAGTCAAGAATGAAGCCAGAGGAAGGGCTGGTGTAAACTTTCACAATCAGGATGTGCATAAAACCAAATGTCAATATATACTGGGTCAGAGCAAGAGCAGGTGTCTGCCGGCAGTGCCAACTAAGCCCCAGATGGAGAGAGCGTGGCAAAAGCATACACGGGTCACGTCAAACTAGCCTTCAGTGGGGCCAGTTTCCTCGTACCAATGCAGGTCAGCACCATCTCTGCAGTCTGCAGTCTTTGAGAGCTGCCCAGAACACTGAGAGGTGCCGGGACTCACCTAGAGTGACAAAGTCAGCCTGGGGCAGAAATGGTCTTCCTGGCTTCCTTGAGTCCAGCTCTCTGACTACTACAACCCACTTCCCTGAGTGACCTGTTTACAAACAACACATTTTTCTTGGGCCTTTCACCCCCTGCTGTATAGCTAGCGCAATGTATGAAGGTGTTCCTTTCCTTCATCAGGGCAATTATTATAAATTAAATAATATTTTATGATTTACAAAATACTTTACCACCATTATGTCACTTGACCCTCACAACAACTAGGCAGTACCAACATTACTTCCATTTCACCAAGGCCCAGAGGCTTGAGGTTGCATGACTTGAACTCTGTTCTTCTGACTCAAAATCTGCCCTGCTGGCCTTATGACCTCGGGCAAATCTTTTTCCTCTGAGAAAGGAAAGGGCTGGAGCTAAAGGATTTCTGAGGCCCCTGCTGACCCTAACTGGGATTCTCGAGCCTTTGCTACAAGGGCATGTGGGTGGTCCCCTTCGATTCTTACCCTCCAGAGATGAGCAGAAAGGCTTCTTATAAGCAAAGTGAAAGAAGTCTTAGATACCAAATTTTTTTAGAGAAAGCAAATGGAACGACACATAGGATCAGAGATTTAGAACTGGAAGGATCCCCAGGGGTTATCTTGACTAACCTCCTCATTTTACAGAGGAGGAAACTGAGTCCCAGAAAGGTTAAATGAAGGTCACATAGGTAGTAGGCAGAAGGTCACACAGAGCTGGGCTATCATCTTAGCACAGGGCAAAACATACAGTACAATTCATAAAAATCCGTTTTCCAAAAAAGGACTTTATTCCTTTATCCAAAGTATATTTTTGGTGTGATTGCTCCTTACTATTTTTATTATTGGTCGCACTTCCATATAATGCTTTTAGATTTCTAAGCACATCACACACATTATCTCATTTGGAGCTCAACATGGCGTGGGACAGGCAGTATCCTCATGTGGGAAAAGCACTGGATCAGAGGCCAGAGGACTAGATTCAAATATCAACTCTACTCCCCAATAGCTGTGGAACCTTCAAAGTCATCAAAATCGTCCAGGCCTCAGTTTCCGCACTGGTAAAATGGAAGGCTGGACTAGATGATGAGAAGATCTCAGGTCTTAATCAGAGCTAATTCTATGAACAGTGCTCAGAGTCAACACTTCATAAATTTTACAATAAAGAAATCCAAGGCTAGAGGGGGCCAAGGTTATAGATTACAGGCAGAGCCATGACCACAAGCCAGATCTCCTGACTCCAAGTCGACTGGTCATTCAAGCATACCAGTGTCCTTTCACAGGCACTATGGAGCCAACACGCAGACGTGGTGCCTGTGCCCTGCCCTCAAGAGGCTAATAAAAAGTCTTTCCCTATACAAGTTAACTGAGTCTTGGACCAACACAAGTGTAATCATATAGTACCCACTGGCAAACACCTATTTTTCAAAGGGCCTATATCTTTTCCCAACAGATTTAAATCTCACTTCCATCAATATTATTATTAATCACCCATGTACATAGCACTGTGAGACTTACAAAGCAAGTCCATGGCATTATCTCAGTGGACCCTTACAACGCCTAGGAGGGTGGAGAGCTCAAATATGACTACTTTCATTTTACAGACACAGAAACAAAGGCCCCAAAAAGCAATGTGACTTCCCATGATCCCTCTGGGAGATGGCGAAGAAAGCTGAAGTGACATCCAGGTAGAAGAGGTGACCAAAGAGAGAAGGAACTAGAACTTACCTGGGACTTGGCTGCTGGGGGCATGGCTGCCATCTTCCAGGGTCTTGCATTCCCCATCTGGACATAGGGTGAACACCTGGGAAGCAAGCAGGGAAGAGCAAAGGAAAATGGAGCCACAAATGGGCATCCCCCTGACTGGTAGCTCTCCAATAAAAGAGTGCTGGCCTGTCTCCCTCACTCCCTCCCTCACTCACCTGGGCAGGGCCTACATTATTAGCACTCTCCATCCTCAGGTCCCTGTATGTGCTGGACATAAAGCATTTCCCCTCAAACCAGAGTGGAGACCACATCAGGTCTGGACACCAGGACCCCTCCTGGTGGAGAAGAAACAAGAGAGTTATTTGCACTGGAGACAAGAGAAAATTTCCAGGCGCCATCCCAGCCCTGATTCCAACAGCTATCGACCTCCTGCCTGGACTGCAATAGTAGCTGAATGGGTCTCCTGCTATCCAGTCTATCTTTCACATAGTTCCCAAGTGAAGCTTCTTAATGTACAAATCTGACAATGTCACTCCCCCTATGCAAAAACGTCCAGAGGTCCCACATCCCCTCTAGGATAAAATCCACACTTGTTAGTATGGCATTCCAGGGTTTCCACAACCTGGCTCCAACCCACCTTGTTAGCCTCATTCCACACTACTACCGTCAAGACATCATGTCCTTTACAATGCAGATAAACCCAGATATCATCACGTCCCTTCCCACTTCAGTGCTTTCGCCTCTGCTATCCTGCCGTGCTTGGAATGCATGCCCTCCTCATCTCTGCCCGATGAGGTCATTCTCTTTCCTCAAGACTCAACTTCTAAATCCTCCACGAGGTGTTCGCCCACCATGCCAGTGGGCCTCCTCTCTTGACCTGTTAACAAGTCTTCACATCTTTTTCATATCATCAACCAACCAGCCTACCTCCTTCCGTCACCGTACAGCTCCCTGATGACATCCTTTTACGCTGTTTCTCCTGGGAATCTCTTTGTCGGTCATGGATTACAGTCTATACTCATGCCCACCATGCACCTCTCCATCGCCCTTTGGGTAAATGACAACTTGAACTCTTCACAGACTTGTATTCCAGGATTCACGGCCACATAGCATAACTGAAAAAATATTGGAGTTAAAAAGGTAGACGGTTGTTTTTAGGGAGAAGCTTGGGGCCATATAAAAGCATTGCAAAATTTCCAATCTCCTCCTCCTACTCAATTCTGGGCCCAGTTGGCTCTTCACCCAGTGTCTGCTCAAGGTCTTAGAGCAGTTTTAAGCTTTAACAGTTTAATATGAGTTTAAAAGTGAATGAAGCACCATGGCAGGCAGGCCCCGCGTACATGGACGGGAGGGGTCATCAATCTAGGTAAGAAGCCTTCCCCATGGGCCCAAGCTCGTTGGGGATGAATGTAGAGAAGCTAACGAGAACAATCCCAAGCCCTCTTCACAAGTGTAGTTCTAGAAAGCCCTTTCTTCACAATCAAGTCATGGGAAACAGGGTCCTGTTTTGGGCTTCACTCTCCCGTGGACACGTTCATTTTTGGTGTTTAAGCAAGTTTGAAATTAAAAAAAAAAAAAAGACTCCACTCAGCTCCCAGCTTCTCTAGCATACCTTTCCCAATTGGCCCCTTTGCACATTGCCCTGCATCTTCTCTTTATACATCATGTGGCTCCCAGTTATTTGCATGTCATCTTCGCCAATAGAATGTGAGGTCACTGAGGGCAGGGGCTGTTTTTACCTTTCTTTGTTTGCCTAGTATTTAGCTCAGTCCCTGGCATATAAAAAGCTCTTAATAAAGGAAGGGGGGAGGAAAGAGGGAGATAAAGAAGGCACTTTCCTCACAATTTTCCAAGTGTTTCATTCTGTACAAGCTCCATTTTACAGAATTAGAAACTGAAGCTCAGAAAAGCTGAGTAGAAGATGGAAACAGAGAATGGTGGTGCCCTCGATAGTAACAAGGATGCTGGAAAAAGGGAAGCGCTGCTGTCCTCCTGCTTCTGCTCACTTCACTCTGCACTGGTTCATACTACCCAGAGTTCTCAGAAATCACCAATCATCATTTTTTCCAATTAAAGAAAATTTATTATCTTTCCCTCTCACCATCACCCCTACCCCCCACCATAGGGAAAAAAAAGAAAAAGAAAAACTCTTGTAACAAATGTGCACAGTCAAACAAATCAAACTGCCAAATTAGCCAAGTCCAAAACACAATGTATTTCTCTTGCTGAAGCCTGAGTCCGTGGGGTCTCGGTCAGAAGAAAGGAAGCATGCATCACTGTGGGGCCTCTCAGGAACGGCGACTGGTCACTGCATTAATCAGAGTTCTTATATATCTCAAAGTGTTGTCTTTACACCGTGGTTGTTACCGTTAAAATTGGTCTCCTGGTTCTGTTCACTCTACTCCGAGGAGATATGAGTTAATCCACATTCCAACAACACCAGCAGGGAAAGGAAGTTTCCACACAGACTTGGGGCAACTTGACTTAAATTTACCCCCAGACAGATGGGTCTGGGTCCCAGCATGGACAAGAAAAACATCCAAGAGTTTTTAGGATTAAGGTGGGGAGCTCATGAGGTCCCTCCCCAGGGAACTTCCTTTCTGTCCTATCTTTTTACTCAAAGGACAGTTTGCTTGACCAAGTAAGCAGATTCGGGACAGTGAGTGAGCCATGGACACAGCGACTTTTCAGGGTATCTGGTACTTGGCAAGGTTTCCCACTTTCTCTTCTAAGCTTTTGATTCTCCTTGTGATCCTTACCTTTGGAGCAGTTATTTATTTTTTTATCTGGTCTCTTGTTTTATTTCTTCTAGGTATTCATGTACTCTTTGTGGAAAATGCATTTTGTCCTTTCAGTGTCTGCTTGCAGAGGCTTGAGGGGATCTCTAAATTTACCATCACTTTTTGATGTTGGTCAGTGTTTTCTATGAATTACTCAGCTCTCCAGCTTCAGGCCCTGAGACAAGGCTTTGGGCCAGGGCCAAGCTCTGCCTCTTACTGCTCTTTTGGGGGGGGTGGTGTGTAAAGCTCTGCTTGACCTCACCCTGAGACTCCTGGGTTCCTGCCCCGATTTTCCTCCCCCCGGCCCCAATCTTTAAGGCGCGGAGTATGAGATCTTCAGGGCCCGCTATGGTGTCTCAGGACAGAGCTGGGTACCTTGGTTTTCCTGGTCTAGGTCCTGTTCTGGTCTCAGTGACCCGATGTTTTTGTCTCTGCTACTCCCCACAACTTCCAAGGTCGCCACCTGGAGGTTTCTCACCAACCAGAAGCCTTCTGACCCTTCTGGGACTTTAACAGGGGAGCCTCCAGACACTGGGGCTTGCAGGCTACACCTATCTCTGGACCAAAGGTTACTCTGTCTGCCTAGGAGGTCAGTGGCTTTGCTGACAGGGCCCCTTCCTATTTGCCACAGGTTATTGGCTGAGTTTTTGTGAAGGTCTAGGGAGGAAAAACAAACTCCCTGTAGTTTCTCATTGGATTTCTTGATCATTATTCAGCCTGATACAAATTGCAGGTTTTTACTAAAGTAGGAGTATGAGAGCTGAGTGTTACACCTCCATTCAGCAGCCCTCCTGGTCAGAAGTCACATAATAGGTTCCTTAGAAATCTTAGAGGCAGCTACGTGACGCAGTGGATAGAGCTCTGGCCTTGGAGTCAGGAGGGCCTGAGTTCAAATACGGCCTCAGACACTTGACACTCACTAGCTGTGTGAGCCTGGGCAAGTCACTTAAGCCCAACTGACTCACCAAAAAAAAAAAAAAAAAAAAGCTTAGTGACTGTTAAATGTAACGGAATACTACTGTGAACATGAAGAATTTGGGGAGGCTCAGAAGACTTATACAAACTAATGCAAAGTAAAGTAAGCAGAACTAGGCGAACACTAAAAACATTGCCAAATGTGACCAAGGCACAGACAGGTTTTGGTGAACTGCGCTTTTGGTCTTTTTGGAATTTTTTATAAGGGTAGAGAAGCCAGAGGGATATGGCTGGAAATAAAGGTGATGTGAAAACAAAAGCTATCCCTAAGATTTTCATAAAATCACAAAGACGGCCAATGAAAGTTTTCAAACGCGTCTATCATTTGATTTTCAAATGTTAGACTAAAGCTAGGTGGCGCAGTGCCTACAGCGCTGGGCCTGGAGACAGAAGACCTGGGTTCAAATCTGGCCTCAGACTTACTAGCTGTGTGACCCTGGGGAAGTCACTTGACCTATCTACCTCCGTTTCCTCTGCAGTAAAATGGAGATAATAACAGCACCTACCTCCCAGGGCTGTTGTGAGGATCAAATGAGATAATAACTGCGAAGTGTTTAGCACAGTGCCAAGCACACAGTAGGTGCTATTATCGAAATGTCAGTTATTACTGTTCCCTGTCAGGGTCTTCAAGTAGAGGGTCCAGATGTGGTCAAACTCAAACTTCCTCCCTAAGTTACCAACAACAAAGACTCTTCCCCACTACCCTCAAGCAACTGAAGCCAAAAAGAAATCTCCCTGAGAAAAGCCCCCAAGTCAACAGGACTCTGAGGGGAAGCAGGCAGAGAACCGGCAGCGAAGCCCCCGATGAGTTATGTCAGAATCACCGAGTACAGGTCCAGGCAGGTGGTCATCCGACTTCCACAATTCACCACCTCCTAAGGCAGCTCACTGTACTTCTAAGCAGTACAAATTCCTAAGTAGTTTTCCTTTACACCAAGCTGAGATCTGCCCATCTGCAACTTCCACCCACAGGGGCCAAGCAAAATGAGTCTAAAGCCCCCTCCCCCGCCCCCAGCCCACCACCAGCAGGCTCTGCTCCTTTTTCACCATTGCTAAAGGGGCTTCATGAGAGCAGGCTATGTTCCTGGCCCCTTTCTGATGGATATCATGGCATGAAAGGCAGCCTGCCAGTCTTGGATTACTACAAAAAGAGGTATGCATATGGGGCATGGGTCTAGGAGTGGTATTGCTGAGTCAAAGAGTACATCCAATTTGGTAACTTTGGGGGAAGTTACAGAATTCTCCCCAGAGGGGCAGCTAGGTGGCGCAGTAGAGCCCCTGCCTTGGAGTCAGAAGGACCTGAGTTAAAATCCGGTCTCAGACCAGAGACTTGACACTTACTAGCTGTGTGATCCTGGGCAAGTCACTTAACCACAACTGCCTCACCAAAACAAAACAAAACAAAACAAAAAAAACCAGAATGCTCCCCAGAATGGCTGGGCTGACTCCAAGTGTGCCCATTTTCCCATGGTCCCTTCAACACTAGCCATTTCCCTTTTCTACCTTTTTTTTACCAATCCGATGGGTGTGAGGTGGAACTTCATTACCTTATGTTTCTCCATTTTTAATGATTTGGAATGATTTTTTCACATGGTTGTTGATAGCTTGGATTTTTTTCATTTAAAAATTGCTTGTTCATATCCTTCAACCATTTATCTAGTGAGGAATGGCTTTTAGTTTTATAAATTCAAATCAATTCTTTATCTATCTTGCACTTGAAATCATTAGTCCTCTTCTTAACTAGGAGGCTGAGAAACTAATGCAAACACTAGATCCTTGAGGCCCAGCACTAGAAGAGGGAGTAGGTCAGGATTTCCAAATTACCTGATAGGAAGCTGCTCTGGCTTTCTAACCGACATATAATTACTTTAAGTGACCCTGCTCAACCCTATTCCAACAAGCACCAGAGTAACTCTGAAGACAACCCGAATTACAGAACCAGAATTCTAAGAAATGATGAAGGAGATGGTGTCAGAAAAAGTGAGGAGCGCTTGCATGAACTGAATTGCTCATGAAGTAAGCAGAGCCAGGAGAACAACTTTCACAATAACAACAACGTAAAGACAACAACTTTCCAAGACTCAACAATGCCCATCACTGGAACAACTAACCTATGCTACCCACCTCCTGATGGGGGGATGGACTCCAAACCGCAAAATGAGACATTTTTGGACACAGACAACGTGGGAATTGTTTTGCTTGACTATGTATATTTGTTACAAGGGTTTTGGTTCTCTTTTTCTTTAAACGTGAGGAAATGGGGAAAGTGAGCATGCCTGTGGTCCTTACTACTGGAGAAGCTGAGGCTGGTAGCTCTCCCGAGCTTGGGAATTCTGAGCTTCAGAGCGCTAGACGGACCAGGTGTCCAGACTATGTGCAGGAACAATATGGTGAGCCTCCAGGAGCAAAGGTCACCAGGTTGGGAGGGATGGAATTGGCCAACCCAGTTCAAATGGGTTGCTCAGACTGGGTCCATGAGTGGTTGCCTGGATGAAATGGGGAAACCTGGTCTCAAAAGAGAGGGGAGAACAGGAGAAAGAAAGGGGGAGAGAAAGAGGAAAAGGGGGAGGGAGAGTGGGAGAAAGAGAGAAGAAATAGGGGTGGAGTGGAGAAAAGAAAACAAATGTTTAATTGAAAAACAAAAATTAATGGCTGTTTTACACTAGGAAAAAAGGTCCAGAAAGAAAGGACTTGCTAGGTCACGTGGCAGAACCAGGACTATAAACAAGGCCTCCTAACTCAGACCTCTTCATGAAGTGATTTTTACAGTAATTCAAGTATGGAACAAAAAGCAGGAGGAGGAACATTTGGAGCCAGAAAGAGATGGGGTGGAGGGGGCCCTGTTGGCTGGACAGGGACACAGACAGAAGAGAACAGAGGATAAAAGGTACCGAGGTACCCAGACCAGGAAGACGGATACATGGGGTCAGGGTGGGGGAACCACCTGGGAGGATGTGGCAAAGGTCTCTTCCCTCAACTTGGAGGTCTCAAGTCAAATCCCCTGCCCCCAAAGTGGAGGTGGTCCCTCTCCAAATCAGTTCTACTTCCAATTGGAGTGGTTTTTTTTTTTTGTGGAGGTGGGGGAAGGCCTCAGAGTACCAAGCTGGGGAGCAGGAGCCTCAGAGAAAGAGGGGACACAGTACTGTAATGTTAATGTGGCTATTTTGGGGGGGAATGCAGACTTGCATAATGCAAATTTGCATAAAGTGAGAGCTGTCTGTATAGTTTAAGTCAGTCACCACCTCATGTTTATATGTGGCTAAAAGATAGTTCACAACCCTGAGACACACCTCAAAAAAGCAGAGAAGGCATTATAACTGTACTTGCAGTACCATTATTTGGGTGAGGGATTGGCTTAATAATTAAGAAATAAGGGTGATCTTTGCAGGAAAGCAGATTTCTGCTGGATAAAAGGAAAACCTTTTTGACACTCAGCACTACCTAGACAGGGCTACCTCAGGAAGCTGGATGACCTCTTCCCAGAGATATCTAGGGGTTCTTTACCTGGGGTTTGCGAACTTTTTTTTTTTTTAGGCAATTGGGGTTAAGTGACTTGCATAGGGTCACACAGCTAGTAAGTGTCAAGTGTTTGGTCTGAGGCTGGACTTGAAGTCAGGTTCTCCTGACTTCAGGCTCCATGCTCTATCCGCTGCGTCACCCTGTGAACTCTTTAAAACCTATTTGAGTAACTGTGATTCAATGTAATTGTTTTCCTTTGTACTCCTATGTATCTTATTGGATGCCTTTACAAATATTCTTCTGTGAAGAAGAACCCTATTGTAGATGGGATTTCTCTGACTCTTAGGTCGCTTCCAAATTGGGGGAGTCTATGACCTCCTCTAAGGGGGTTGTCCAATGCCTCAGAGGGCTGCAGAGGTGTCTGACCCGAGGAGGACACAATCTGGCAGAGCCCACCAAGGTGGTGAGAGACTCTGGGTGTTGTCCCAGGTCTGGGGCTCGTTTCCAGAGGGTGGGCCAGCACTATGTGAAGGTATGGGGAAATGCTCTGCTGGAAGAAGAGCCCACGATAATAATGACAGCTACAGACTTCGGTAAGGTCTGTAAAGTGCTTTACATACATTACTTCATTTGTTCCTCACAACAACCCTGTGAGGTAGGTCCTGATAGTATCCTTCTCATTCTATACACGAGGAAACGTGAGGTCTAGTGAGGTTAAGTCATAAAGCTATTAAGTGCCAGCGCCAGGATTTGAACTTAGGCTCTGTGATGCCAACATCTCCTACAAACCAGGATCCTTCACCGTGATGAAACTGCAAATCTTAACTACTTAAAAAAAAAAAAACTACTTAAGGATCTTAAGTAATATAAATTTCACAGCAAAAATCTGCCGTAGACTTGCCCTGGAAAAAACTTCGAGCTAGTAGATTATACTCCATCCTCATCAAGGCCATCTCCTCACAACCCACAATGCTCTGCCTTTCCACAAAAATCACTGAATAAGCTCATTTCTTCCGACAATTTACTTAGAAGAATAGTCATGGGCTCAACCCTTAGAAACCACGATCTCGACTCTTCAAGTTACAAAGTAACTAGGTGAGGTTACAAGAGAGATGAGTGTTACAAAGCAGAGGGTAGTTATTACTCGCACACAGCTATTCGCTTCTTTCTACCCTCACCATCCATCCATCCGCTTCAAAACTGCTGGCAATAAGACTCCAACTGTGGCCAAGGCCCCTTGCTGGGGAGTGGCAGGGAGACTAAAGGGGGCAAGGCAGCCACGCATGCAACCTTGTCCCTAAAATGCCACTGGCTCCTATCCAAAACGCGAAAATGCCAGGCACCCCCCAAAGATGTCCAAATGCGAGCTGAGGGAAATGGAGCCCCGGGGAGGGAGAATCACGTGCCCTCGGACAGCCCCCAAGACTGCGATGGCTTCGACCAGGGAAGGGGCTCGTGGGAGGCCGGGGGCCCTCCGCTCTGTTCCATTACCCTCGGTCCTCCCCAGAGCCTGCCTTACACACAGTAGGCGCTTAGTAAGCACTTGCTGACTGACTGGGCGGGCCCCGTTCCTCGGCTGCCACTGACGGGACGGGACGGGACGGAGGGGGGCGAGGGGGGCGAGGGGGGAGGGCAGGTCCAGGCCAGCTCGCGCCCCTGACCCACCAGGCCGGGGGCGCCGCTGCGCATGTGCGGGCCGCAGCTGGTAGGAGAGGGGAAGGAGGAGGCTAGACGAGGCCCGCCACGGGGCGGGCGCTGCCAGGGCGCCGACCTCCTCCCCGCCACGCGGGCGGCCGGCCGGACGGAGGGTGGGGGGGGTGGAGAGAAAGGAGAGCCCCAGCGCCCAGGGCCCACCGCCCGCCCCTAGCCCCCTAGCACACTTACCCGAGCACCGGCTAGCACAAAATGGCACCGCCGGAAGTCCGTCCTCCTCCACCGGGAGCTCCCGCCTCACTCCGCCGGGCCACTTCCGGTGGCGCTCTAGGACGCCTCGGAGGTCTTCGCGGTGCGTCTCGCTGGTCCGTGGCTCAAGCCCGTCCCCCAGAGGTCTCAGGCCTTCAGTGCAGATTCAGCCCCGCCAGCCACGGAACGTAGGGGAAACTGAGGCCCACAGCGGGGAAGAGCCTGGGCCAAGGGCACCCGCCTTGGCGGGTCACAGAACACTCGTGGAGGAGAAGCGTGATGGTGACGATCGTCTAGTCTCATCATCCCGTTCTAGAGAGCCCATGGAGGACAAGGGTCTTGTCATGGGTGGTGTCCTGGGCTGTCAGAACCCCAGGTTGGCCTAAAGAGCTTCGATTCTGACGCCACTGTATTTGGAAGGTGGGGAAACTAAGGCCTGGAGAAGAGAGGTGCTTTACCCCCAGCCAAACCAGGTACTGGCGACCTGGTTGGCGTTAGGAACTGAGTGTCCTGCTTCCCTAGCCCAGTGCCTGTTGGCAATATCGCCTCGTTGAATCTCAGGATCTGGGAGTCAAAGGGACCTCAGAGACCATCTGCTTTAACCTCTACCTAAACCAGATTTCAAGTGGTACTGTGGATAAAATACAGGCCCTAGAGGTCAAATCTGGTCTCAGACACTTACTGCCTATATCCCACCTCTACCTGCCTCAGTTTCCTCATCTGTAAAATGGGGCTCATAATATAATACCTCCCAGGGTTGTTATGAGGAGGATCAAATGAGATTCCATTTGTAAAGTGCTAGCACAGTGCCTGGCACCCACTAGGTGCTATAGAAATATTTATTCCCTTCCCTTCCCCTGCTAAAGAATTCTGATATGTCTCCCTTAAAACTCATTACACAGAGAGTGGAGCTTGCTTTAGGCCTCAAAATATGAAGTGCATTTGATGTCTTGTGTGAGCTGCTTCTGAGCTTCAAACGAGGGCTAATTCATCAGAGAAAGCTTGTGTTTATGTGGGTTTAAAAATGGGAAATTTTATTTTGTATCTTCATCAAAGCATTCCGTGCTGGTCCTTTCTTTGGCATTTTTTTTTCAACCTGGGTGCCTCTCCCTCCTCCTCCCAAAGAGCACTGTGTTATGTTTTCATTTTTCTTATATTAATCTGTCCCTCCCACTACATCTCGACTCTACCCCTGTTGAGCAAATCAAAGGGGAAAAAAAACCCTAAACATAAAGCCCTCAATACAAAGCTGCATAGTCCAGAAAAGAGATGCCCTCACTGGCCATGTCAGAAGATGCCCAGCTCTTTCTGCATTGTCAGTTTGTCACCTCTCTGGCAGGATCAGGGAATGTTTTGCCTTCAGTCTTCTGGAATTATCATTGCATCAGTCAGAGTTCCAAAGTCTTTCAAAATTGTTTTTCTTTATGATGTTATTATTCCATAAATTGTTCTAGTTCTGATCACTTTGCTCGGCACCAGGTCTTAGAGGTCTTTCCATTTTCCTCTGAAACTATCCATTTCATCATTTCTTATGGAACATTATGACATTACATTCAGATACCACAATTTGTTTAGCTATCCCCCCAATAGGAGAACATCCCATTGGTTTCCAATTTTTGGCCACCACAAAAAGAGTTGCTATAAATGTTTTTGTGCATGGGGGGGGGGGGGCGCCTTTCCTCTTTCTTTGGCCTCTTTGGGGCATAGGCCTATATTTCTGGATCAAAGTTTGATAACTTTCTGGGCAGAGTTCCAAATTGCCTGCCGAAATGGCTGGGCCAATTTACGGTGCCACCAACAGTGCACTATTTAGTGTGCCTATTTCCCTGAGCCTCCAACAATTGATATTTTCCTCTTTTGTCATCTTTGACAGTCTGATGGGGGTGAGGTGGAACTTCAAATTTGCCTTAATTTACGTTTCGCTAATTATTAGTGATTTAGAGCATTTTTTTTTAATATAGTTGCTGATAGCTTGGAGTGCTTCACCTGAAAATTGCCTGTGTGTATTTTTTGCCCATTTATCTATTGGGTAATGGCTCTTCTTATCATTTAGAATCACTTCCTAATTTAAAGGGAGTCTGAGACGTGCCCAGAGTGCCTTAGATGGTGCGTCTACTTGGAGGACACTAGGGTGATTTTGGCTCTCTACATGGTGGATGCTAAGGAGATCTTCCAGAGAATCTCAATGACTTGTATGGAGCATATGTAGAAATTATGTAGCAAACTTTGTGCTGAAATTGAAATCTGATTGGCTGTGAAGACTTGTAAAAAAAAAAGCCTTCCAGATTCAGCTACCGCTCTCTTTTCTCTGTGCTTGGAGGGGAGCTTGGTGACCATTGAAGGGAATGAAGACTGACTCCAACCTTCCTCTGCATCTGGGCATTCCAAAGTCCAGGTTTGCAGCATCTGTGTCTGGAACATCAAGGAGTGACCTTTGGCAACCCTAACTCAGTTGTAGCCGAGGACCATTTTCCTCTAGCTTCTAGCTGTGAAGTAAGTTGGAACACTGCTCTGTAGAAACTGAGTTTCTTTTTTTCAAGGTTTACAAAGCTCTTTTCTTTTAATTTTTTATTATGATTTAACAATCCTCAACAAAAACAAACATTTCAATTCACAAAGAAAAACCAAAGGGGGCAGCCAGGTGGGGCAGTGGATAGAGCACTGGCCCTGGACTCAGAAGGACCTGAGTTCAAATGTGGCCTCAGACACATAACACTTACTAGCTGTGTGACCCTGGGCAAGTCACTTAACCCCAATTGCCTCGACAAAAAAACAAAACAAAAAATAGATAAATAAATGAAGTATTCTCCCAGTGCTCACTTCACTCTCCAAGAGTTTATAAAGGCCTTCCCAGTTTCCTCGGAATACTAGCTAAGAATAATAGTGAGAGTGAGGCTGAGAAGTTGGCACTACTCTGCTTCACTTAAATTCCCTAGCAAGTGAAGACATCATCCCTGATGCAATTGGTCCTCTGTAAAGATGAAGGACAAACAAGGACAACAGCAAAAATGGGAACAATAGCTAGAATTTACATAGTCTTTAAAGATTTGCATAGCACTTTACAAATATTAATTACCTCATTTGATCCTTACAACAGCCCTCAGAGATAGGTACTATTATTATCCCTTTTTTGCAGGTGAAGAAACTGAGGCAAAATGAGGTTAAGTGACATGCCCAAGGTCATATAGCTAGTGTTTGAGGCAGGATTGGAACTCATCTTTATGCCTCCAAGTCCAGCACTCTATCCATTGTCACTTATCAGTCTCTGAATTTGTTCATTTCATCATTTATTGTGACACAATGATATTCTATTACATTCATATAGCATAGAGTATTCAGCCATTCCCCAACAGGAGCAAACTTCCTTAGTTTCAAGTTCTTTGCCTCCACAAAAAGAGTTGCTACAAATATTTTTGTACATATAGATCCTTGTCCTCTTTCTTTGATTTCACAGCTCTACCAACAATGTACCAGTATCCCTGTTAACAATCAATAAATAGTTATTAAGCACCCACTATGTGCCAGGTACAAAGCCTCCAATCATTTGTCATATTTGTCTTATGTTTTATCTTTGCCAGCCTGATGAGTATGCAGTGGCCCTCAAAGTTCCCTTAATTTGCATCTCGGTAATTACTAGTGATTAGAACCTTTTAAAAAATGTGATTATTGATGGTTTGGATTCTTTCCTTTGAAACCTGCGTGTTCATATTCTTTGACCACTTATCTATTGAGGAATGGCTCTTAGTCTTATAAATTTGAATCAGTTACTTATATATCTTGGAAATTACACCTTTATCAGAGAAACTTTCTACAAAGAGTTATCTACTTCCCTTGCAAGTGTAATTGCATTATATATTTGTGTAAATTTTTTGTTAAACTTTACAGAATCAAAATTGTCTCTTATCCTGTGCGGTCCTCTGTATCACCAGTTCAGTCAGGAACTCTTCCCTATCTGTAGATCAGAAAGGTAATTTCTTCCTTGCTTCTCTAATTTGTTTAGGAGTGACTTTTATTATCTAAGTCATGTATCCTTTTGGAACTTATCTTAGTGTTAGGTGTAAGGTGTTGGTCTATACCTAATTTCTATCAGACTGCTGACTAGTTTTCCCAGCAGTTTCTGTCAAATAGTGAGTCCTTCCCCTACTACCCAAAATCTTTAGATTTATCAAATAAAGCTTTCTATACTACTGTGTTTGTTTGCTTCCACGTACATTTGCCTAATGGAGAAGTCCCGCAAGGCAAGTGCTCACAGGGAGGTCAGAAGAAGCGCTACAAAGAACACTCTTATGATGTTTCTGAAGAACTTTAGAATTGATTGTGATACATGGGAGACACTGCTTGGGTGCTTGTGCTTGTACTCGGACCCCAATTTCTCCCTAGTCTCAGAAACACTGTCTCTGACAACCACTCCCCAGCCCAAGGACATTGTGCCTAGCAGTCGCTCATGCCTGGGCCCCAGCACGACCCTCATCTCTCTCCCTGGTGCAGCCACACAAAGCTGGGTGAGAGTGCTGGGCTGCTCAGGCCCCAGCCCTCAGATAACGTCTCTGGAAGCCTCCCAATGCCTTAGTAAGTTCCTGTCTTGTGAGAAAGCTTTCCCTCCTTGCAGAGCAGTCTCTCATCAAGACAGAGGGAGAGGGGTGCCTTGCCCAGCCCAAGGAGTTTTGTCCTTGGCCAACCCAAGGACTCTTCCTCCTGCCAGACTCCCAAGATCCACGCCTCTGTCATCTGCCTCCCTGTCCGGTATACTTCCTGTACTTTCCCATCCATAGCTCCCAAAGACACCTGGACCTTTAGATTACCTCATCAGTGTCCCTGGCATTCCTTTTCCATGCCCTTTTCCATATAAACCCTAGCTCCATCCTCAGTCTCTCACAGGTTCCTTAAGAATCCTTGCCCGCTGAAAAGCGTAACAATATATCTTTGCCACCTTGACTTAAAGAATGCTTGAGTTTGTGAATTCATTCCAGACGACCCTGTCCTGTACTCCAGTCTCTGAGGGGTCTCAACCTCTCAGACCGCAACAGGCCCAGCATGGCATGCCCACATCAAAGAAGGTTCTGTGCTCTCAGTAGCTCAAAAGAAACATGAGATGTGCAAATGTAAAGACATCTCTCTCTAAATGGTCATAGGGACTATTTGTGTCCAACCTGTGGTAGAGCCTTTCAAGCTCATATTAGCCTCATCAGCCACTGTCAGACACTATACCTTGACCCCAACATAGTGATGTCATTTTGGCCCTCTTCTAGCATGGAGGACAAACAACAATCACCTACTCTGTTTCACTGATTGCCTTTTTTTTTTGTTAACAATGCCAAATCATTTAAGTGATTACTGCTTTGTAGTACAGTTTGAGATCTGGTCCCTATAGGCCCTGAGCTAAATGTTGAGCCTATTCCCACCCAGAGATTGAGATGGTATATAGGGGAATTATACCTCAGATATAGTGGGGGGAGATGCTGGCATGTTTGTTCAGGTTAGGTCTTTAAGCTAAATAAAACTAATCAATGTGAAGTGCTTATGTGGAACTGGGTTGCTGTCATGGACCTCGTAACAATAGAAGGCACACAGCTTTGGGAGGGGGGCCTCAAGTCAATGGCAATAGAAGAAAAAGTGGTGTCCCACGGCCCTCAGGAACCTTGAGTGGACGTGGAGCCCACCTGGCCTTGAGAGCAGGAGCCAGGAGGTCTGAAGCTATGCGTATTTAGTAGTCTATTAAGCTAGTGAAGCTTAAAACCTAAAACGGGACACCCTGAAAATCTGAGAACTTAAACCCTCATTGGAGGAACCTGCTGCAAAGGGTTTTTTTTTGTTTTCCTTCTACTTAACTTCGCTAGTTTTGTTTGTGCAAAAACTTTTGGTTTTTATGAAATTAAAAATGTCCGTTTGATCTTCTGTGATGCTCTGATTCTGTTGACCCTCCTCTCCCCTCCCATATTCTCTTAGTAAATTTTGTTAAATTATTAAGTATTTACTCACTCTCACTGGGAGAAAAAAAAAAAACCAAACCCTAAACTCTTGTAACAAATATGCAGAGTCGAGCAAAACAAATTCCCATATTCCCATGCGTGCCTCGCATCAACATCTTGAGCTCATCATCCCGCTCGCCCAGGAGCCCGCCCCACTCCTCTCCAGGCCAATGGGAAGCTTCCCGGGGAGCACCGAGATGCCAGCCCTCCGAGGCGTCCTAGAGAGGCACCGGAAGCGCCTCCCACCGGCAGGAGGAGCCCGCGGCGCCGGCACGTCTCGATGGTCTTCTTCGTGGGAAGGGGCTTTGTGGGACTCCCGGGGTTTGGGTTCCGGGGAGTCTGGGGCCCTGGGGAGCGGGGAGGGAGAGCGGATTTGGCCCGGCTGGAGCGCAGCGCTAGGCCCTCTGAGGTTTAGCGGCTGGGGTCCGGCGGCGGTGGAGGCGGAGGTCCCGCCCCTTCCGCTTTCTCGACCCCGCCCCTTCCGCTTTCTCGACCCCGCCCCTCCAACTTTCGGGCCGCCCCTGCCCCACGTCTCCTCTTCCCTCACTCCTTGGACACGTAGGCTAGAGTGTGGGCCGGGCCCTTGGCCGGGCGGCGCTGCAGATGGCCGGAGCGAAATGAGGCCGCCCCAGGCCTCACGGGGCTCACCTTCTGGCGCGGGGGCCCGGGGGGGGGGGAAAGGCGCAGTACGTGTGCACGGATAGGTAAGGCTGCCGCCCTCATGGAGGAGGTGGCACTCAAGCTGAACCTTGAGGCTCGCCCAAGAGGTGGAGAATTCCAGGCCTCGGCGACAGCCTGGGCAAAGGCGCCGAGGTCGGAAGTGGAGTGTGTGCAAGGAACAGCTGGTAGGCCAGTTTGGCTGGAATGTAAGTAGAATGGGTGGGGGCAATAATGTGAACTCAGTCTGGAATTGGGAAGGGCTTGAAATGTCAGAGAGGAGTTTATATTTGAAGCTAGAAGCCGCGGGGAACCGCTACTCCCCTGGGCTGGGGCGTGACGTGGTCAGTATTAAGGTGGCGGCTGTGTGGAGGATGGATTGGAGAGGGCAGAGGCTGGACACCGGGGACCATTTGGGAGGCTATTGCAGTGATTGGTTTTATTCTGTTATTAATAACTGTGAACAAGGAGGCAGTGTGCCATAGTGGGTAGAGAGTCGATGCCCCTAGCAACATTTTAGGACCATAAAGTTGCAGAGAAGGTGTCAGTCGGTACGATTCCTCAGCAGGAGCACCTTCCATCAATGAAATCACGGGTCTTAAAAAGAAAAAGAGAGAAGATATGATCATTGGAACATGGCCATTGCTGTGCCATGGGACGGGGCTAATGGTCAGTCCCATTTTTGACCAGAGATGGGGAGAGAGGAATAGGAACAGGTGTCTTGGTGATAGTTTTTCACAGATCAAGACTATACCTAGAGCATTCCTGTGCTCAAGGATCTGTAAATTCATTGGGGTGGGTCTTCTAGCAACTATGTAGATTGTAACTTCTTTCTGCATTAATGTATCCTAGAATCAGAGAGTTATAAGGGACTTAATTGACCATCCAATCCAGGGGTGGGGAACCTGTGGCCTGGAGGCCGCATGTGGCCCTCTAGGTCCTCAGTTTCGGCCTTTGGACTGGGTCCAAGTTTTACAGAACAAATCCCAGGCCACAAGTTCCCCACCCCTGAATCCAAGCCATCCCTAAAAGCAATCCCCATTGTAACATTGTTGACAAGACATTTTTTGACCTTTGTGACTTGCTGAAGTCAAAAACTGGATTCCCTTATGACCACCATGGTGGTGAGCCTCTTCAGATTTAGCTCAGCTGGGGCTCGGACAGGAGTCAGAAAACCATCCCTAGGTGAGTACTTGAAACTTCTCCATTTTGAAAGGTTCTGCTGGAGCTTGTCGTCCACTAGCACAGCCTTGAAGAACTCAGGGTCACCTCCGTTCCATGATGAGCCATCAGAGGAGAACTAGGGAGGAGAACGTTCCTAATTTTCTCCTAAATAAATCTGCATTAGAGCTGTCATCTGTGAATTTCCCTGAACCTTTCCTTGGTTATTCATTTAGTAAACTTTTACTAAAAATAATAGTAACTGAGAAGCAATGTGGCAGAGTGGGTAAAAGGCCAGCCTTAAAGTCAGGAAAATCCGGGTTCAAGTCCTACTTCTCACCCATATTAGTTCTTTGTCCTTGGGGCAGGTCAGCTGGCTTCTCAGGGCCTGTTAATCATTGCTGCCTACATCTCTTAAGACTGTAAGTTACAGTTTTCAATCCACATCAATGGAAAGATTTTCCATACCTAAAACAACCAACTCAGAAGTTTGGACCGAAAAAATAATAGCTGTTCACCTTTCTCTAGTGGGTCTTGAAAGTTTACAAAGCCCTTCTTCGCTACAACCTTCTGAGTCAGGTACTGCAAATATTGTGTTTGGCCTCAGGGGTCGGGATCAGGAGGGGGAGGTGCTGGTATGGGGGCCACCTCAGGCCAGGTGATCAGTGAAGGGAGTATGAAGGAGTCAAATTGCTCTGCTCCAGCAGCCAGGCCAGGAAATGGGATGGAGGAATCGTGATGGAATGGCATTTCTCTCCTTCCCAGGCAGGCAGACCAGGCCAGAAGACAGGTGGAGGAGGGATTAGATGTTTATGATGGAATGCCATCTCTCTCCTTCTAGTGGAGAGAACGCAGTAGAATTGTTGATTGAAAAAGTGTCTGTCTCCCTTTTCATTAAGTTCTCTCTAATTCGAGTATTCTGGGGCATGGTGGAAAAAAATATATGAGGAAAAAAAGGGGGCTCTATCCCTGCTGCAGCTGGGGTTTGGCCTTCTACCAGCTGGCGCTTCCACTGGGATGCATGCATGGGTCATGTTACAGAGACATATATAACTTGTGATTGAAACTTTGCCACCCAGGATAGTACTGATACTTTATCCAGGCCTGGACTCTGCCCATCTCTACACAGCCACCTGTTGGCTAGAGGTCGACCCAGGGAATTGCAGATCTGTCTGTCGTACCCTTAAAAACCCTCAGACATCTGATGCCTACTAAAATTGGCCCTGGGAGGAGAGAACATGGCAGCTACAAGTGAAAGTAGTCAGTTCAGGCCCATGAAGTGTACAGATAGATAAAGATCAGAGTGACAGCATTGATTAGCAGGCAAAATCTGCATGTTCCTTTTGGTAGATCTTGTTTCGAAACTGACACTGGCTCCCGCTGCAGTGGGCATTGAGACCAGTGGGGAGTAGAATAGAGAAGGCTTCTTTGAGAGCCCAGACCTTGAGTTGGCTTCTGAAAATGAACAAGAATTGGCTGGGCAGAAAGAACCGGGGTGGAGGGGGGCACTCGAGGACTAGAATGGGCAGAGGAATGGCATAGGACTCAGTATGACCTTTGAGCATCCCCTTCATGTCACCTGAATATTGGATCTCTGGACAGTTGCCATATTTGTCCCTGACCTTCCCAGGGGGTGTCCCTGAGTTCTGGAGCAAGTCTGCCCAAAACAGTGCTCAACCCAGATTTCCTTGTGCTGTTTATTGTCTCCTGAACAGGATTTCCAGTTCCTGAGCCAGACACCATCTTCCAGATGGAGGGCGAGGGAAAGCTGCAGATTGTGGAGCCAGAGGAGGTTGATAATAGAGACTTCCAGAAGGGAAGCCCCTGCCCAGGTGAGGGAGGGCAGCTGTGTGCAGTGGTGGCCTAGATGGGGGTGGGTAGAGATGTTGTGATTGGACAGTTTTGTTAATGGATGCAGCTCCTCAGTGACCCTCTGGTCTGCCTCACTAGGGGAAGCATATGAGGAAAAAAAGCTGCTTTTCCCTTTTTCCTTCTAGTCTCTTCTGTAATTCTGAACTTTATAAACCTAGCCCTTGTGTGTTCTGCTTCTTCTCATCATCCTTGCCTAACAGCTCCCTGCCTGCCACTCTTCACCTCCTCCATTCTTATCTCAGCTTTATTTCTGCTGTTTCTGTACTTTTGTATGCCTCTCACGATGAGTTCTTTTATGTCTCGTGCCCTTCTTGCTCTTTCTTTGTGCCAGCCACTGCTGATGACTGCCCTCCTTATCCACCTCTCCAGGCTCGGGCCTCTTCTTTTCATTTTTAATTCCATGGCTGCCACCACCAAGAGCTTGGTGGGGGAGGGCCTTCTTTGAAGCAGTGCTCTTGGTAACATTCGTTTAGGTACCTCCTGGGTGCAAGCACTGTCCTGGGGGCTGGGGGTACTAGGGTGAGAAATAGAGATCCTATTTCAAGGAGTTGGCAGTCTAATAGGGGATTATGATACATCCACAGTTTAGCAAGATACAAAGTTGAGTGTGATAAAATCAAAGGAGAGATCCCTTTCAGCAGATTAGAGGCAGTGGCTCCTGAATAGTGCCTCCGTGAAGGGTTTCAGCGTTAGATGAGCCTGGAAAGGTAGATCAGAGCCAGCTTGAAGGGCCTCCAGTGCTGGGCTAAAGACTTTCTGCTTTATGGGGATTACTGGGAATTGACACGATGAGACCTCTTCATTGGGAAGATTTAATTTGGCAACTGCCTGTAGGGTAATTGGAGAGGGGAAAGAGATTGGAGTCTTGGAAACCAGCTAGAGTCTTAGACTTAGACCATAGTCTAAGTGATGGCTGCAGGCTTTGATTTAGGATGATGACAGTGGGAATGAAGAGAAGAGGAAAGACGAGAAAAATTTGAATTTTTGACTCTGGCCCCTACCCCTTCTACTGTGAGCCCTTCATCATTTAGAAGAAATCAACAGCTGCCTTGAGCATATATAGAAAGTTATTTTAATACAGGTCTGAGAATTTGTCAGGAGGACAGGTAGAGATACCGAGGCTATTACAGAATCTAGCTAAGACCAGCTTGAGAGAGAAATCTGACTTTTAGATACTGTATTAGTTCTGAGTGCCAGTCCCCAAGGCCAGCCCTGCTTTTCCATTACTCTCAAAGGACTTTTTGCACATGCTGGGCCTTCATAGAGAGCTAACCAACCCCAATTTCTTCAGCTGTTCCTTGTATAGAATGATTTGTTGTCAGCCAACATCAAGGTTGCCCTCCCACAAACACTCTCTCCTGTATGTCAAATGACCCATTTTACATGTGGTGTCTAGAAACGAACACAGTGTTCCAGATGTGGCCTGTCCAGCCTAGTGGGGCCCGTCCCCTTGTGTCAGGTACCCATTGCTCAGGACATAACAGGAAAGTCTTTTTTAGTGTTCTTAACATTCATTATGGACTTTAGCCCTCTTGATGCTGTTGTTCGATTTCTAGGAGAACTTGGATAAGAGAGGCAGTGATTTAGGGGATAAAACCAAGAGTGCATGATAGAATGGGAAAGGAAGGCCCAGTGCCATTGCTGGTGTAGCAGTGAACCAGAGCTGGCTGCTGTGAGTGATATCCTGTGTCCTTCCCACCTTGTACTCTGATTGGGCCTTCATTAAATTTCTGTGATACTGCTCCTGAACTTTCTAATCAGTGGCTCCCTTTCACACAGTGTAGATTTGTGTTTTTCTGTTTATCATTTCAGATTCTAAGAATGAAACTGAAAACAGAGGGTCTGTTTCAACACACGAAGCTTCCAAAGTAGAATCACAAGGGATATTATTGGTAGGTTTACAAGGGGCCATTTCCCAGGACTCCAAAATTGGAGAAACTTTTGGATTGGGGGGCAGGTTAGAGGTACAACAGGAAAAGCCAGAAGAGAAAAGACTGGAAGGCTCACATAACCAAGACGGAGAGGTTGGTAATGGGACCACGTGCATGAGCGTGCCCCCAGTAGAAAATGAATGTGGTAAAAGCTCAAATCCTGTTCCACATCAGACAGATCCTCCAGAAGAGAAAGCCCAGAGATGTGATTTGCATGAGCATGGCTGCAGGCTGAGTTCAGAATACACAAGTAAATCCAAACCCCACAGTGGAGACAAGCCTCATAAATGTAATCAGTGTGGCAAAGCCTTCAGGAGGAGCTCCAACCTTATTCAGCATCAGAAAATTCATAGTGGAGAGAAGCCCTATAAGTGTAATGAATGTGGCAAAGCCTTCAGCCGCAGCACAACTCTCATTCACCATCAGACGATTCACAGCGGAGAGAAACCTTATGAATGTAATGAATGTGGCAAAGCCTTTATGGCGAGTTCCGCACTTATTCGCCATCAGACGATTCACAGTGGAGAGAGACCCTACGAATGTAATGAGTGTGGCAAAGCCTTCAGCCGGAATTCCATCCTTATTGAACATAAGAGGATTCATAGCGGAGAGAAACCTTACGAATGTAACGAATGTGGAAAAGCATGCCGAGGGAGTTCAAAACTCATTGAACACCAGAGAATTCACACTGGAGTGAAACCCTATGAATGTAATGAGTGTGGGAAGACTTTCAGTCAGAACTCACACCTTACTCAGCATCAAAGAATCCATACTGGAGTGAAGCCCTACCAGTGCAGCGAGTGTGGCAAAGCCTTCAGGCAAATAGCCACTTTTATTAACCATCAGAGAATCCACAGTGGTGAGAAGCCCTACGAATGCAATGTGTGTGGGAAAGTCTTCAGGGTGAGGTCCGATCTCATTCGGCACCAGAGAATTCATAGTGGGGAGAGACGCTATGAATGTAACGAGTGTGAGAAAACCTTCAGTCAGAGCTCTTGCCTTATTCAACACAGGAGGACTCATAGTGGGGAGAAACTTTATGAATGTAATGAGTGTGGGAAAAATTTTAGTCGGAGCTCAAACCTCATTCAACATCAGAGAATTCACAGTGGAGAGAAACCCTATGAATGTAGCGAATGTGGCAAAGCCTTCAGCAGGAGCTCAAACCTCATTCAGCATCAGATGATGCATACCAGAGTATAAGGAATATGGGAGAGACTTGTCTAGGATGGAGAGAAAGATGAGTGATCTTGGCAAGTCACCAGACCTTCGTGGACCTCGCTTCGGTTCTCTGTAAGAAAAGGGGTTTGGCCTGGGACCTTGATGAGATCTCTCTCTTCTCTGCAGCCTGTCCTCTGAACAGTGAATATTCACATTGTGGCCTCCTGCATTCTGGCCCACAGCTGGCTCAGTGACTTGACAGCCAGGGTAGCATAGCGGGAAGAGTGCTGAACCTGGAGTTAGACAGCTTAGCATCAAGTCTCAGCACCTCCTTTGAGCCTGTTTTCTCCATTGAGATGGGGAGAATAACACTTGTTACCTACCTCACAGGGTTGTTGTGAGGAAAGCCCTTTGGAATCCATAGTGATGAGGACCACTGGTGCTCCTGCTGAGCACTGTGGCCCCATGGGAATAAGCTAATACAAGAAAGTGATGAATGGGGGGAAACCCTCTGTGGCCACTGCCAAAGATACTCTATTACTGGACAAAAGGGAAGGTGAAATCCCAATATGAGAGGCAATGTGGCCTGGTGGAAAGAGCCCTAGATATGTCTGCCAGCCTGGGGTACCTGGAAACCCAGGCTTTCACACTCACCTTTGTGACCATGGGCAAATCCCCTCCCCTCCCTGAGCCTCAGTTTCCTTTTCTAGAAGATGGAGGCATTAGTCCTCGAGCCAATTACCTCCTGTGGGTTATTGTGAGGAAAGTGCTTTGTGAGCCTTCAGCTGCTAGAGAAGAGAACTTCCTGTATTGATCATTAGGAGGGCTGGGATTCAAACCCTTGACTCCAAATCCAGGGCGCTTTCCACTGGCCCATGCTGCTGGAAAGCTTTCAATGCCAGTTGTGGTTGGCAAATATGGAACCACAGAAGCTCCTTTTACAAGGGGTAGAGGGAGGGGCTGTCCCATGGTCGGACCTGCACTTTACAAAGATCACTTGGCAGCTGAGTGGAGGATGGACTGGAGTGGGGAGAGACTGGAGGCAGGCAGACCCCCCCCTCCCCCATTTCGGTTATTGCCATTGTCCTGGTGTGAGGGGGGTGAGGGCCTGCACCAGGGATGCCCATGGTAATAGAAAGAGGTGGCCAGTTGTGAGAACTACTGTATAAGCAGATTCAGTAGGACTTGGGAACTGATTGAGTATGGGGGTGGGGGGGTGAGGGAGAGGATGCCAGGTTGTGATCTAGGGTGAATAAAAGGAGATCTGGTATCCAAGACAGAATTTGTAGAGAAATCAGGAAATGGAGAAGGGGGAGCAGGGAGATGGTGCTCCATTTTGGACATGTCAAGTTTGAGGGACGCCCATTGCTTTCTAATAGAACTAGAATAGTGTGTTAATAGTCAATAAACATTTATTAAGCACCTACTATGTGCCAGGCACTGTGCTAAGTGCTGAGGCTACAAATAAGAAAAAGAGTCTTTGCCCTTAAGGAGCTTACAGTAGAAGGGGGACGACAGTCTACAAGAGGAAGCTGCAGCCACCACAGGGTACCTGGCATGATGGGTACCAGGGGATGAGATGTTCATGGGAGTCAAAACCAGGCAGAGCAGCTGATGAAAAATGTCTTTGGACCGGAAAGGGCACTGGACTATGAGGCAGAAAACTTGAAACTGATTGTGTTACTGTGGGAGCCTCAGTTTCTCATCTATAAAACAGGGACAGTAATATTGTCCTCAAGGAACTCCCATTTTCCCAGGTGATCTCCTAGAGGAAGCAGTGAGGAGGTGGGGCAGATGGGGGAGACTCTCCCAGAGGCCTCTTACGGAAAGTGAGACTGAGCTAAGTCTTGAAGGAAGTCATAGAATAGGGAAAGCAGAAGTGAGGAGGGAGAGTGTTCCAGGCGTGGGCTGCAGCCACTGAAAAGGAACAGTTGGGAGATGGAGTGTTTGTGAGGAACAGCTAGACTGGCCAGTGTGTGGAAGGTAGTCCGACACAAGGAGGCCCGAAAGGCAGAAAGTGGCCTGGTTGTGAAGGGCTTTCATGTCAAACAAGATTTTGTATTTGATCCTGAAGGTAATAGGAGACACTGGCGTTTATTGAGTAGGGGTGTGACATGGTCAGACCTGTACTTTGGCAAAATCATGTTGGCAATAGCTACATGAAGGATGGTTTGAAATGGGGAGGGACTTGAGGCAGGGCCATCCCTCCTAGTGGAGGGAGCAGATGACCTCAGTTTTTTCAGTGAAGTATGAGATGAGGTCCTCAGTTGAGAGGGTTTGGAAGAGCTGCGGTAGTGAGGAGAGCCAGACTGTTCAGTGAGGGGTCAAAGGATTTCCTTGCTGGTGGAGATTATAGGGGGGGTGGGGCAGAGAGAAGATACACCCAAAGTTAACTGTGACCCCACAGCATCACCAAAGTACGGCAAAGGGCACAACAGCCATATGGTAGAGACGGTGCAAGTCTTTTTTACCTCCGTTTACCTGACGCTCATCCCCAAACCTCTGAGCTACAAGGGACCTTAGGGTCAAGTGCAATCTAAACTTGAGCCGAACTCTCTTCTCCAGCCCCCCCCCCCCCCCCCCCCCCCCCCCCCGGGAGGAACTGGAGTGGGGTACAGAGAAGCTGCTCACACACTGTTGCCTTGGGCCTCCATTACCTCACGTAGACTAGATGACCTTTCGGGTCCCCTCGGCCTTGAAGTCTGAGCCTCCGAGCGCCCACCCCACTTGTGGGCACCTCGGCTTTCTCTTTTCAGTGTCAGCAGAGCTGGCAATTGCTCCAAGGTCTTGAATCCAAATCTCCTGAAGGGCACTGAGACATGTCCCTGGAGGGATAGGAGCCATTTGCCTTCTGGGGGAGATAGCATCTCCAAATGGCTCCACACAGGGGCGTGCCCATCTTTGTGGCCCTCCTTGGATCTGCAAGTAATAGGCCTGTGATTCTAGAGCTGAAGAAAGCCTAGGGATCATCTAGGCTGACCCCCTTATTTTAGAGGCAGAAACTTGGATCTCGCACAGAAATAGCACTTGTCCAAAGTCACACAGTGAATGTGGAGATTTAGAACCAGGTAACAGCTGGAGACCACGTGGCTTAGCCAGAGTCACGATTCACACTTGGGCCTGCCAGCTCCAAGTGTAGCCTGCGCTCCAGTGTTTATAGTGACTCCAGGGGGGAGGGGGAACCCAGCCCTCCCTCCTCCTCCAAGAGTAGCCAGAGGCTATGTGACTTGAGGGGGGGTGGGGAACTGGAATGTATGTGGTGGTGACCGAATAAGCCATGGATTTTTTGAACATGGCCAGTGTTTGTTTTGCTTGACTATGCATATTTGTTACAAAGGGTTTGGTTTTCTTTTTTAATGGGGGAGAGGGATAGAAAACATTTTTGCTAATTGAAAAAAGTTACAAAAATAATACTTGGGGAGTCAGGAGACCCGGGTTTGAATCCTGACTTTAACCTCTTGCCTTTCTTCCCTTCTTGGGAGCTTGGCTTTTGCCTGCCTTTCTTGGATTCTCAGTGACTAACAGTGCTGTGCAAATAGCAAACCTTGAGTAGGTGTCCCTTGGCAGCGGGTAGATGGATATAGCCTTAGACACTTACCAGCTGTGTGACCCTAACCAAGGGTCACTTAACCTCAGCCTTAATTTCCTCATCTGTAAAATGGGGATAAGAGTTGTGAGGGTCAACTGCGATAATATATGTAAAGTGCTTTATATAACGTTAGCTGTTATTATATGATTGTTATTATTGTATTATTATTATTATTATTATTATTGAATGGTCTCTGGATGGACGAGTGGCTTCATCTCTGAGCCTCTGACACTCTCACAAATGGGGATAATACCTGTAGTACCTACCTCAGGTTTGTTATGAGACTCCAATGAGAAAGCGTCCCATTAAGCACCTTGATGCCTTAAAATAGCATATAAATGTAAGCTATTCTTATTTTAATAAATGTTATTGATGCTATTTGAGTTTTGACCCCTCTCTGTTTCCGGAACCAGCGGGGGAGGGGGCGGGTCGACCAGAGGCCAGATCTGGCGTCGTAAGCAGTGTTCGGGGCCTGGGGTCCACTGTCTTCCCCCACCCCCACCCCCACCCCACCCCCCCAGCCGGGGAGGAAGGCGGGGGCGGGGGCGAGCGCGAGCGCGCCCGGACACCATCGAGACGCCCGGTCCTCCGCGCGTCCTAGAGCGGCTGCGGAAGCTCCCCCGTCAGGGGCCGGAGGCGGCTCGCTCCGCCGGCCGGAGCCATCGCGTCCTCTCCGGGGGCTCGGCTCGGGTGAGTGGCTGCCCGGGGGGTGGTGCCACAGGGATCGGGGGTCGTGCGGGGCTGGGTTTCGGGCGCCCGGATCGCTTGACCGCTTGGACCCCTCTCCCGGGTCCCGGGTCGCGGGGCGGCTGCCTCCGCATCGGCCCAGCCCCTCCCTTCCCCCCCGTGTATGCTGGTGCGCATGCGTGCGCGCAGGCGCAGGCGCCGGGAGCTGCGGCCCTCGGAATTCAGCTGGGAGAACTGCTATTGGGGGGGTGGGGATCGGAATCCGGGAAGAAACGCAGAGTAGCCCGAGTCGGGTCGGGGGTTTAGGGGAAGGCACCCACCCTCGCATCCTCCCTGCGCCCCGCCTCTTTGCAACATCTTCAATACATGCCCACCCCTCTCTGACACCATCCAGGCCCTCCTCATGTCGCATCTGGACTATTGCAATAACTGCTGGGGGGGAGGGGCGGGGGGGGGCGCTGCCTGCCTCAAGGCTCCCTCCCCGGTCCAGTCCACCCTTCAGCCAGTAAAGGGATCTTTCCGAAATGCAGGTCCAGCTGTGTCCCCCTCCCCCATGAACTCCAGTGACTCTCTTGCCACCAGGTTTACGTGCAAAGTGCTCAGTTTGGCATTCAAAGGTCTTCATCACCTGCTCCCTCCTACCTTTCCAGTCTTCTTATACCTTCCACGTACCTTGGATCTTCCAGCCAAACTGGCCACCTCCCATCACCCTGCTGCCCCCACCAGACCCCCCCGCAAATGCTATCTTCCTTCCTGACGT